AATTGAAAAGTTTGAGTGAAGCCTACGTGAAATAGTGATGCTGAAAAACAAGTAAAAATCCGTACAACTACATCAGCAGCAAATGAGGAAAAAAACAAATGAAAAGCTATGCGTGTCGAAGCCGTAAATGAAAGCGAAAAGGAAAGGCAGAGCGAGGCGTGAATGCGGTCATTGTGTTAAATGAAAAGGAATGGAAATGAGCGGCGGTGCTCCAATTGTGAATATATTCATGCCATTTTTTATATGTGTATATACATACATACATACGTATCACAAATATATGTATATGCGTATGTGCGTGCATGTGCTATGCCGCAATTATGCGCTTTTAATTGTCACATCAATTACGTGTTGGCGCATTTGCAACATAATTGAGTAAAGTAATTTACGTTTGCATCATGTTGCTACTACCCGGCCTTGCTAACTGTTGCCATTATTGCTGAGGCTGTTGCTGTTGCTGCTGCTGCTGCTGCTGCTAAATTATTCAACAGCTGACGAGACTGACAAGCTGTTGCTGCTGTTGTTGTTGTCGTACTGCTTATACGGCATCATTGTTATGGGTGAGATGTGATTGAAATGCGAAGTGTTGAGGCGAAAAAAGTGACGCCTTGCCAATGGTAATACCGTTGATGAGTTCTTTTTTTATTGTTGCCAGCCCTGCTTAACACAATTAATGCGATTGTCGAAGCAATGGCGTCAGTTAATGTCAAACAGCACAACAGCTACAGCTACAGCTATGTATGTATGTGTGTGGCAACAGCAGCAGCGCGGAGTGACAAGGAGAAAAGTTTTAATTAATTTGTGGCTCAGTGCGAACAAGAGCAAGTAAGGCAACAAAAATAAAGCTGTAGCGTACAAAAAATGTGTTTTTTTTTTCTTTCGAATATGCAAAAGTATGCATCAACCACTATGTGTACATATGTATGTAAGTATGTATTGGGATTTATATTAAGTTGCGTATACGCACCTTTGTACCAAAATATGTTGCCCAATTCGTGCGGTCCTTGCATGATGCGACATGTTAGATTTATATCGCTGCCGCTTTTCACATACAGATCCGATGGCCCGATTATGTTGGCTTTAAGCTCTGTTGAATACATGTAACGAAACGAAAGTGATAATATCAGTTAGCATTGTTTGTATGTATGTATATTTTATTCAATTGTGTGTGTCAAAGGAAAGTTAATTTCAACAAAGTTTGTGAATTTTTGGTGATATACAGTTGAGTGACAGTTTTAGCTCTGTATGTAGTGGGAAGAATGTAGTTTTGGTTGACTATTTGTTAGTTTATTCATTTAGGGTTTCTTAAGTCTCTAAAATCAATAAAAAGACTTGTTAGTGGATATGAGAATAATGGGAAACAGTCCCTTGGGGGAGCTACAAATTAACTATGAATTTATTTAATTTGCAAGTAAAGTTTTTGCTAACTTTTTGAGTTGGAGATGCCAAAACTTAAACAGCAGAAGGCGTTTTGAATTAATAGGTATATATATAGGTAGATAGATAATGTTTCCAAAGTTCTGGGAATAATGCTATAATTAAATTACGCAGAACTTATACGGAGATTATGTTGAAAAACTACATTGTAATAATGTTGAAAATTAACAAAATAATAGAAATTATAGCTAAATTCCAAGAACTTTGGAAACATCCATCGTACCTATATCTGCGGAAAATTTCGGCTTAAAATAAATTCATCTAGCAAGAAGTTACCTTACACTGGTGTCAGAAATAATAGACTCGTCGTATTTTAGGAATTTTGGCTTTATTTCTTTAGTTTATTTTATGATTAATATTTTGTTTTTATTGAAGCCTAGGTAGTTATAAAACAAATATTATATAAACCCCCTTTTCAAATTTTGAACAAAAATTATTAAAGTTCGACAAATTTTCCTCAAACTTTCAAACTTTTTATTCAGAATATTTAGAAATTTTAATATAATAAAAAGCAAGTTTCGATAGGCTACAAAATACCGTTGATTTAAAATAAAATATTCTTACGGTGTCGCATTTTTTCTCATACACAGTGTGCTCGACAGTATTTTTATTTGGAAGGGAAAGCCTAGCATCGTAAAAAAATGGTCAAAAATCAACGGTATTTTCTAGCCACTTCAAACTTGCACTTTATTATAATAAAATTGGGCTACAAAAGTGCACAGTAAAAATTTTTATAAAAATTTGGAATAAAAAGTTTAAAAAATTGGTGAACATTTGTCGAACTTTTATAACTTTTGTGTAAAGTTTGAAAAGGCGATTTATTTGGCGTTTGTTGTATAACTAAAAAAATAAATCATGGGAATATAGCCGAAACTCTTCAAAGTAAGGCGAATAAGGCAATTTCATAGCTACGTGGAGTGTTGCCACCTCTTAAAAAAAATGGAGTTCAATGTGAATTCAGGCGAATCGGAAATCCAAATATGTATCACTTTAAGGATGCCAGACAAAAGAGGTTTAAAAAGGTTGAGGTTTGAAAATATGTTGAAGAAGATAGCCACCGGTTTGAAAAATAGGTTGAATTAAATTATGCACAAGTTATATGATCTAACAAAGTATGGGCGTCAAACTTAAGAGCGGTAAGAAATCTTTTACTTGAAACCTTAAGAATATTTGCTAGGCATTTGAAGAGGGTTGCCACCAGTTTAAATAGTTTAATTTCAATTATTTAATAGGCATGAAGTACTAAAAGATGTTTATCAATCGAAATGGGTTTGGAAAGATTTTATTTAAAAACTATATTTAGGAAGGTTGCCACGTATTCGAAAACTCAAATTAAATTTGATTCACCATTTATTTGATATATGTATGTACGTCAATGTTAGAGGAAAGAAATTTAAGAAGATTTTAATTTGAAATGGCTTTGAAAAGGGTTGCCACCCATCTGAATGGTCGAATTTAGTTAAGTAATAGACAAGATCTAGTATATGTATATGATATATTTACAAATCAGTGTCATACGAAAGAGTTTTATGAAGGCTTTTCGCGTGTTTTGGAAATTGTTTTATATTACCCGAACATACCTTCCTTAAGAAAAAAATTATCTGTTTATAGGACAAATAGTTGTTTTTTATTACAAATTTAGTTGAGCGTATAAACGCTACCATTGTATACAAATCTATTGTGCTGACCCTATAAAGGATCTCTCCAACCTTAGAGCATTTGTGAAATTAAACGTTTTAGAGGGTGTCACGTCTCAGATGCCGCACCGAAACGATACTCGCTCCCCAAAATATTAAGAGTCTTAAACCTAAATACGAATCGCCTAACATATTCCAGCCACATAATCTGCAGTCCAGTCAGGTAGACTGTGTGAAAGTGTTCAGACCTTCCGGACTGAAATTTAGTTGTCGTTCCGAGAACCATTTGGGAAGAGCTTCTAGATTGCGTAATCCATTTGTGATGCGCCATTCGTTTGTAGTTTGAAAATCCTCCCACAGCTCTGCTGTGAAGGCTCCGCTTCATCAAATGCGTAAACGTCTACACATTCGTTGCCATCAAAATCCTCATGTCCCGGTACCAACCGGTACCCTGTTTTGCGTGCTTAATTAACCAATCAATAGGATTTTTCAGTTGTAGACAAGCCTTGATGCTCCCTGATGGTCAGATATGATACTCGTCCTGGCTCCATTTGTCTTTCTGCGAAAACAACATCAGAATCCATGTATCGCCGGAAAAATATGAAAAAGTCATAGTTGGCGATGAGTAATAATTTCAGTAAAGTATGTTTCAAAAAGTTTGCACAAAAGGGTTTCCAATTCGAAAAGAAGAATTTTAAAACTTACCTCTACGTCATAAACTATATCAAATTTCACCAAATTGGCATTTGACAGAATTGGAAATGGAAGCCGATTATTTAGTTATAGGGCAAATCTGGCACAGGTTTTCTAAAAGAAAGATTTCCTTCACAACAGCACTCTGCTTAACGGGACGACATGGAAAATGACCGGATTGCCCAGTTAATAATTTCTGTTGATTTTATAGGGCAATGGGAAGCACTGTTAACACTAAGATTAAAGGGAAGTGCAGTGAGGATTCACCCCTGAGCAGATAATATTTCAGTACTAAATTTTGCTGTATTTTAGCTGTAGGTTAATATTTGTGCATAGAATTTTGCCAAGCGAAGTTGAATTCCGCATTAGATCCTTTACAACAAAGCTAGGTTCAAAGATGCTACTGCTACTACATTATTGCCTCACACACTCAAAGAGGCTTCTCGACATAATCCTTTGAACAGAGGTTCAGGCAAAACTGGACGTCTATATGGATGTATTATAACATAAAAATTTACAGTAAAGCAGCTCAAATAACTAGTTTTGACCTGGCAACTACGAAATGTGACACTTTTTCTAACCGAATGCATTACGAAGCCTTCACAATGTCCATATCTTTGCAGCAAAACAAACATGAATTGGCGGTGCATTTCTCAAAATG